GGAGAGCAGCAAGCAGCGGGAGAGCAGGGGGCCGTGGGGCAGGGGTGGAGTGGAGGCGGGAAGAGGCTGAGCGAGGGCAGGGCCTCAGGGGAGAGGGTGGAGCAAAGACAGGGCCTCAGGGAAGGGGCGGAGTGGGGGCAGGGCCTTGGGGTGGAGTACCCACCGGAAAAAATAAAAGTCAGCACCTGTGGTGGTGGCAGCTCTATTGCATCGGTGATATAAAAACAGTAATGGACAAGCACTGGAGAATATTCTCAGGGGAACAATCCTGCATTGACAGGAGGCAGATAGGATGCCTTATACTACTCTTCATTCTTTAAAATGTGCTATCTATAGTTGGCTAGATTTGTATTAAAGTGTAAACTCTGGTACAAGACTCTGGTGTTAGAAAGTCTACATCAAAGGAAAACGACCACCAACTGCCTTCAGCCTGGAGGTCAGAGAGAGCCCTTAGGGGGCAAGGGCTGTTCAAAAAAAGGGTGGCACTGGTGAGGGAAGCAGCCAAAGCTATGACAGAAAAGAAAGTGCTGACTCATCTTATCCCCTTGGTAATTTCTACCAATGGGATTTAAAGATGTCCTCTCCCATGGAAACCATGCTGCCGCCTGCCCTTCTTCATTGTGAATCTACCTTAGGATTCCAGGGCCTCACTGGCACAGGGAGAAATAATGTAAACCTCCTCAATTTCAGCTTCAGGGGATCTGGTTCAATGAATGTATCTCCTGAAAACTAGCTGCATATACAAATCACATCCCACCACTGTCAAAGCGTAATATGCACATTGGAACACAGATACATGTTTTCCAGGAGTGCCCTCAAACCAACAGTGTCTAGGACAAATTTTAAAACATTTCTGAAATAATTTAAATAATAATTACTCCTTGCCCCAAAATATCCTGCTTGCATATTAGGGAATATGTCACACTAGATTTGTATTAAGACAGATTTCTGCAAGCTGGCAATACTAATAGCAAAGCAAAGAACCCCCATATGCTGAGAGCCTGAAGCACCTCAACAATAAATGTCTAGGAATCATAAAACCCAATTACAATCCTTGAAAAATTATCTTCTAGATCTGAAGACACTCTTGCAGAATTGGAACTCATAAGGAATCCTATATAGAAGAGTGACAATCTCAGCCAGACAACAACAGCTGCCTCATCCACTCTGAAAACATTGACAGACTTACCTGGAATGCTATAAAACGGAACAGGAACTCTTCAGACACAGAGCTGTTTTATTCTTTCACTCTCGGACAAAGAGGCCACATTCTGCTCTGTTGCACAAGAGTTTGGATTTATACCAATATAAATAGGAATAGACTTTGATCCAGTGACTTGTCAATTCAGTATAATGCCCTGAAGAATAATATATTAACAAAACATTACACATGAATGCAAAGTTACAAAGAAATGTTTGATTTCAGATATACTGTAGCTGAGAAGAAAGTTGCTGAAAGTTGCATTCATTATCATCGTATATCTTTTAATAACTATTCACAAAAAATATATTCTCCCTCTGTTGATCCCTTTCAAACAGATATTTTAGTAACAGATAAGAATGTTTAACCATGAGCAATATCACCAAAAACAAAGCCAAATGTTAACATTACCCTTTTGATACAAAAAAGGAAATTGGGTGATGCAGAATTTTATGTTTGCGACACTAGGTGATTTCTGTTTTGGTTAAGGATCCACATGGTTAGATTAGTTTTTTCTAAAATACTGTACATGTTTTGGTGTCTACTAATGACTTTCCATCACAAGCATTCTCAGTAAATAAAAGGACTCATCGAAGTCTGTTATATTTCATATTACTTAACTCGGCAATATAGTCTGTGCTGGTACCATGGGGGGAAAATATTGCAATGTCAAAAGAATGACAATTAAATAAAAACTACAATAAAATGTTATATGATGATGGTGTAATTCAATTTGTATTGTCACAAAGTATGATATAGTCACTGAAATATTACAATTAATAGGAAAATTCAATAAGATCTCAAATAATAAAATAAACGACTAAATTTGAAGTAATGCCCACTTCAAAAGGGTATTTCAAAGAGTACTCAGAGTCTAGAGATTTCAATGGCAGCTGTTGAGGAAATGGAGTATGACTCAAATCAAAGAGCAGTCTGCAGAAAGCAATGAGAATTAATCCAAATCCCTCAATAAATATAGTACAGTCACATAGAGAAAGATGGGTCTTTCTAAACTTTTGGGGTTCCCCCTATATTGTGCTCCATAAAAGTATCAGAAGAAGTAGAAATTTAGCACACAGAAAAATTCATATTAGAGGGCATCTCCAGTGGCTTGCTGCAACTAGGTTTCTTTCTGCCTATTTCAGGCTTGGCCAAACCACAGCTTGTGAGATGCATGTGGCTCTTTTACAGTTAAAGTGAGGCTCATGGAGAAATTACAGTCCAACACACTATGTGCCTAGAATTAATACTAACGCACAGGGCTTAAATTCTCTTGAAGTATTTCCTGGAGTCCCCATGATCCCCCCTCCCATTCTCCAGTTTAGGAAGATTAAAAACATAAAAACAGCCATACTGGGTTAGACCAATGGTCCATCTAGCCCAGCATCCTGTCTTCCAATAGTGGTCAATGACAGGTGCTTCAGAGGGAATGAACAGAACAGGTAATCATGAAGTGATCCATCCCCCGTCACCCATTCCCTGCCCATCTGGGCTAACAACCTTTGATGGACCTATCCTCCAAGATGATGAAGAGGATTGCAAAGGAGCTAGATAGGGTGAGGGATGAAATAAGAGCAGAACAAGTCCCATCCCCTGCTAAATCTCACCTGTGCACACCAAACTCTCCTGGGACCACACCCTGCTTCCCCTTTAACCTCTTCAACAGAGCACCAGATCCTTAAAAATACATGGCATGGCCTTAAAGGGACAGAGCACTAATAAATATAATCCTAGCATTCCATTACGAGTCCTACACAAAGAGATTGGAAATAAGTGAGGAGGCTCAACCGGGGGGAGAGAGGGGCATGGCTAGAATGTCAAGAGAAGGAGATTATCAAAGTATTTTAGCTGGAATGTTTTGGATAATGTGGAGAAGATACTTTGATTTTTCTCTCTCCCTTTCTTTGAAGAAGCAACTGAATATTAAATAGTTTTGTAATGGCAATATCATACTTTAGCTGCAATAACTGATATGGTTTTACCAGAAATATATAGAATTTTCTTTGCTTCTTCTTTCCCATTTATCATCTCAACATGTATGCTGAAGAATCCATAATTCATGTACCAGTTACTGTGCTCAGCCATTTCCAGAGCCACTGATACATCTTTGTTTTCAAGAATGTATTTAAAATGCAAATGAACAGTCATTTTCTGTTCTCTTTTCAATTCTCTACCTAGTTTTCTGTTCTTATAAAGCTTAAATGATTCTCGATTCTAGACCTGTGGCTTTCCAAATCTGCTGTTTAAGAAATACAGAACTAATTGTTGCCATCTTTGTTAGGTTCAGCCACATACTCATCTCAACAGTTACAGAGCAGCCTGTGAGTGTGCGGCACTTAGACAAAGCAGGTATCTTAACCAGAATGCATTTTCACAGCAAAGCTTGAATTCAGAATGCTGCAGATGTACTGAGTGCTGTTTGATTTGTATGTTTCTCAAGCAATTCCTTACAAACAAAAGTGAAACCTCGTTACAACACACTGAACCAAATTCATCCCTGGTGGCTCTCCATTAACCTCAGAGGTGAATTTGGCACACAAGCTGTACATATTTAAAACCACATTTTATAAGCATACTGAAATAACCCCATCAGTTTACAAATGAAGAGACAATCTGAACCTTTTCAGACCTAAACAGCAATAATCTAACCTATACTTTCGCAAGAGCGATCCCCAAAACATTTATAGTATCCCTCAAAGGTTAACAGGGGGAATTTCTTCAAGCAGCAGCAAGAGCCAGAATCTGCCTCCTAGCATGAAGCAGTCATTCCTTTGAATTATAACAACGGTTCAGTCTTGTCTCTGAATCAGAAGGTTGTTAAGTTTCAGAGGAACCTCATCTCATCACCCTGATATTTGGGAGTTCAATGAGGCATTCAAATAGGTAATTTCTGTGTTCACAGCTGTATGTTCACGATTTTAGGTAATCCTTGTGACCCAACCAATGCTGCCTCATTGGTGGGCTCTTGCAAAGTGCCGTAGATTGGCCACAGGCAATCATTCTATTTTCAGTGTAAATTGCGGGTACTTTGAGACAATTGATTGAGTCTCAGTGGAATAGACAGAACTGGATTTAGTAAGGAAAATGAATCTAAGAGATGTAATCATTGAATTGGACGGCTCAAGAGAATCACAATTCTGAACGTTCATTTTGGATATCTGAATCCATATATTTATATTTACACATTTTCAAAGTGAGGCATTAAGAATACATAATTTTCTTGTAAAGTAAGCGCCATAAAAATGTAACTTGGTAGTTTAGTTGTTGTAATCCTTTAACAACATAAAGAAAACCTCCAAAAGATGCAGCTACTCTACTATGCAATGGATAAGAGGGGACTTGACCCTGATTTTTTTCCCTTCATATGGAAATCCCCTTTACCTAATAAAAAAAGCAACGGGGAGGAGGCAGTTATCATGGAACTTGAATTGCAGAGCTTTGAGTCTGAATAAACAGCTTGAAAAGTGGAGTAAAGCATATATCTATTAACTTTCAAGCATTATGTCATTATGTTTTTCTGAATTCCATTTCAGTAAAATCTCCAAATTAGCAAACTCTTTATAGTATTAGATGTCCCCAAGGAGTGATTTTGTGTATTTCCTTACTGTCAATCTCCTCACATAACAGGTGTTTATTATTTATGTGATATATGATTGATAGGGCAGAGAGGTTCGACACCAGCAGAGAAGGGATTAAGGAGCGCTGATAGGCCCAGATAGCCCCATCCCCACTATACCTGCAGCTAATGCAAAGCCTGCAGGGGGAACAAAAGAAGAGAGCCTTTCTCAGTTCAGGACTGACTGGCCAGGAAGAAGGATGCAGCTCTGCTTCTCTGCCTGAAGGGAGCTTGGCCTGCTGAGTTGGGAAGAGCAGCCAGTGGTTAGGAGCAGTTAGACCCCCAAGGAGTGGGTGACACACAAGTAATAGATGGTTTGTAACCCAAGTCTGAAAGAAAGGGCAGTTACTCCTCATGGGAAGACTGATGGGTGACCCAGTGTTGTTTGCTTTTTGTTTTAAAAATTTTGGGGGCTATGCCCTCTAACCGTCCCCACCCCACCCCACCCCCAAAGGAGATAAGATCTGAAGAGACACTGGAGACAGAGGCTCCTTCCCCCAGAAAGACCTGTGATCATGTCAGGGTGCCTGGAAGATCCACGAGGGGGCACTGCTCCAGCCATGCTATTACAGTTCGTATTCACTTTTCTTAATACTAATATATTAGGGAAGAAAAATTTTGATTGGTTAGTTCACAAGACGGGAAAAAGGAGTTCTGCTTCTGCCACATACTTGCTTTGTGACCTTGGGTGAGTCTCTCTCTCCCTTCTTTTCCCTCCTCTGTAAATATAGGGAAGTAATGCCAACTTTCCTAGAATGCTTTGAAATCCCCCCAAATGAAAGGTGCTATACAAATAGAAATTATTATTATAGAATCTTAATGAAATCCATATTCAGCGTATACAAAGTTTGAAAGTCTTTTTACATTTCAAATAGTTTGTACTTGTATTTGCCAGTTATCATCAGGCTCAGGTTTTACCACCTGCATTCATCATACAGGCAAATGACCTCTTAATAACACACAGCCAATCAATGTCATTGGAATTGTATCATGTAATTCAACTCCAGTAATTTACTGTTGTATGAGTCATGTAATTGGGAGTGTATATGGCCTTGATAATGTAACTAATCTGTAACTGTCCTGGAAACAGATCTTTTAATCACTGGTAATTTTCACAATGATAACAGCTGTATATTCATTTTAATGGGTCTCCAGCTGTATATACAATGTTAGTGTCCCTGTCAGCTATAAAGCTCATGAGGTTAGACCCAGACCCTGTAAGATGTGCTTACCTTTAAGCCTGTGAGCAGACCCACTGAAGTCATTGGAACTACTTATGTGCTCAAATTTGAGCATACACATAAGTCTTTGCAGGATTGGGGCCTTAAGATGTAAGAACATTCACATCTCATGCAGTCTTCAGACATGAAAAAATATTTTTATTTTTAAACTGTAGGATGAATCTATCTTCATACACAGCCACTGATCTGTATTACTGCATCAAAGAGATCTTACAGCATTTTACCCTGTGCTCTGTTATCAAGAACCTTGTTTTCCTCAGCATGTACATTAATTAATAAATGGAGATAGCCCATCTCCTA